GGTGGATTAAACAGACCAGATTTGGATAAGCCAAATCTTCGACATTACTGTTGTATTTTCACAAAAAAACATCTCCATTTACAACCCTAAAATATTCAGCTGGCACATATTTTTCTGACACCACAAAACAGCACGACATATTGACATTTATAGAAAGTTGCACCATGTGAGATTGTAACTCGCGTCTCTGCCTGAAGAAAAACAAACCTCTCCATACGAGGCACATTTCCAAACACTTAAAGCATAACACATTTCTAATCCACATGGCAAACAAATAAGTCACTTCTTCAAAATTTGGCTCAGATTAAAACAGTTTTTTAAAGGATAATCAGACAATTGTTGAAAACATTCATATCACATAATTCAGGATGGTGTGTCTTCTTTTCTGCAGTGTTCATCTCAAACTTCTTGCTTTAAAAACAGCATCACACATCACAGGGAAAGAGAAAAAGAGGAAGGCTTTGTGGAACCGGGAAAAGAGTGACAGAGAATGATGACAGAAAAGTTGTAAGACCTGGATGGAATAATGTCAAGAAGCTAGCCCACGATAGAAAGGAAAAGAAGAGAGTGTCCATGAGCTCTATCTTGGTCCAGGGTGAGAAAGGCAATGATGACGACTTATCAACAATAAATAATAGTGTTGCAGCATGGTGGAATCTGGCACTCATCAAAATAATGAAGTCGAAGGAACCGATTTTTTTTCTCATCCATTGGGCAATTTCTAACAATTAAAACATTTTTGGACCAAGACCAATGTACAGTTTTTAAGACGATACCAATAACTCTATTATCCCAAAAATTGATGAGTACCAGATTCCACCATGTCATGACGCATGTGATTAAGTACTTTAACTATTTGTTGACATTGAGGACACATGCATCCAATCAGCAGCAGAACAAAGCCAACAGTACTTCAAATTTCTAACCATTATGTATATAGCTTATCCTGCAATGTCTTATGATGACCAATACATCCACGGAAAAGAATATTTCTCCAGAGAAATAGAAAAGTTTGCCACATTTTGAACATTTTTAAAGGCTCCACTTCCACTTGTGGATGTGCGCAGCTTGCAGGCTTCTCTCTTGGTTTCATCATTTCTTATTCGTGAAGCCTTTAACAATAAAACACAAACCAAAAACATGAATTTCCATATTTCATTGCACACACATATATTGTTTCCTGCTTTTTTAGGTTTTAGATAAAGGAAACGGAATTGAAATATCTGTATGAATAAGGAAGTTATGCTTCCTTCTTTTTTATATAAAGTTCCCCAAAAAAGCTTGTCTTCAATAGCTCTAAATGTGTGTCTTCAAAGAGTCAAAAACTAGTTTATTCAGAGGGTTTCACAAAGCGCATTACGAAATGTATTTCTAAAAGATCAGTAGATCTAATAGTTCAGCCTTCCTTCTGGTAAAGGTCCTTGACCTTCTCAACAGACTTCTCCCAGGATTCCTCCCAGCGCTGCTCCGAGATGAGGAGCCGTTCTTTCTCCTTTTCGATCTGCTGTAGCATGTTCTCAAACTGTTCCTTGTAATCCTGGGTGGGAGGGGGGGGGGAGTCAAAAA